TAGTAAAAGAACCAAGACTAGTGTACCAAGACTTCACTAGTGTGTTTTAACATCACTGCACTATTTAGGTTTTATTTGGTGAGTATGTTTTTAAGGGGAAGGGAAAGTAGAAAACTGGTGATAATATCTTTTTTCAATAAATAAAACTCTACTCAAGATTTATCTTATCACTTCGTACTATCTGCAGCTGGCTTTTGACTATTTAATTCTTGTTTTCCTATTATAGCTTAAAAATGTTCAAAGTATTTATAACTATAGATTTACAATCTATAGCGACTATTTGGGAATACTAGATGCCTTCTTAGGATAAGCTGTATAGGAGTAAACTTCTTATTGGATTGGAATGAAACTTTTGGATAATCTTTTACAAAAAAGATACTAGGTATTATAGGAAGTGATCACTAAACCATCTTGTATTAAACTAAACACCTCATATACCTTACAACTTTCAGCGATCATCGTAATACCAACTGGATGATTATCACACCACTACACCTTTTTTGGAGATCACAATCTCAACATCCACTAGATCAGCATATGAATTAACTTCTTATGAGAAACAATATATTTTAGATTATGATGCCAGATATCATATTAATTTTATTCAATCACATTTACTTGGGATTGAATTAATATCTTGTGATCTAATCTATGGAGTGTTAAACTACTATACTATAGATCCACAGATTCTATTTTATCAATAATTAAGCTTTATAAGATACTTTTTTAATTCAATACAATTTTTTTTAAGATTGAAAGAGACTTGAATAAAAGAATATAAACCTTTTTTATAAAACTTGAATTTTTTATTTAAGAGTATTTAATTTAGAAAAAAATAATAACAAAAGCATTTTGATTGAAAGGTTTTAAATAGTTAAAAATACTTTTTTATAATTACCAGATAACTATTAAACTCTTTGAATACAAATATAAATTGCTGAAAATAGTATTTAGTAAATAATTAGGATTATATATAGGATGTTATAAAAAAAATAGCTATTATATTTTTATTTGTAACTTAACAAAAATTATTTAAAAAAAATAAAAAAAATAAATATAATTAAATTAACATCTATAAAATAATTTTAATTAGAATTACTTTATTAATTAATTTATAATTTAATTTAATAATTTAATTTTTAATATTGTACTTTTTAGTTTTTATTTAATTTAATTTTTTTTTTTTTTTAATCCTGCAATCAGGTTGGTATCGTTTATTTATTTAATCATGAAGAACCATTACAAGTTGAGAATCCATACAAAGTATAAATTTTCCCAACCCAACTCATACATCTTTAGCCGAAGTCTCTAGATGCGATTTATAGAGGTGATAATGTTGTTCTCCTAGTGGATGGAATTAAGATTCCAGATTTCTAGCAGGATCAAAACCTGCAGATTATCTCTGCAGTCACGACCATAAACCCAAATTGTGTCACCCCCTCTTGTAGTAATTACGCAAGGGGAAAAAGGAATAAAAAAGGAATTTTTTAAACAAAAGAAAAAAAAAAAAAGCTATTGTCTATTCTAACTATCATTGAAGAGATTATCTCTATAAACTTCAAAAATCCAAGTTCCTCATGATACCTCACTTCTCACCATCTGTGGTCAGTTAGACTGTTTAATTTCCATTGGAGTAATCGATGTTCAAGAATGTTTAAGGGCACTTCCAGAGAGTATTTTTTAAGACTTTACGCTTGAAGACTTCTGACCAGAAAGAATATTAGTTTTCTATTGTTGATTTCTCTCCCAAGTCATGTCTTTTGGAATTATTGCTTCATTCAACCAGTGGATAGTTTCAAGATTCCTTTCTCCAATCATTTTCAGAATAAATATCAATACTTCAACTTGTTACCAGATTGGGATAGGACCTAGACCTTGTTGCTACTTCCTGTCCTCAAGAAAGAATAGAAAAGAAAAAATAAAATAAAAGTATGGGAACAAAAGGGGTCACTCCTTTTCTTCTCACAACTTCAACTAACGATTATTCAACTCTTTCAGAAACCAATTACATCATCAGTTTGGTATTGCACGACTGGAAACATGTGAGGAGTACGTGTTTTGTTTACTTTTTCTATGGCTGACGTGATCAACCAATCTGTGACCTTGACTAATCATCTTTCAGGAAATCTGGTGTGACCAAAAAATTCAGGATCAAACTGAGGTAAGCAAAATTCCCCAGAAGAACCAGAAAAAAGAAAGCATGCTTGAGAAAAAAAAAGAGGGAAGCCAAAGAGATGATGAAAAGACTGGAGACTTCTTTGTTCTTGTTTCTCTGGATTCTTGAATCTTTTGGGAGTCTTTGGAGGGTGTTTTTTCTTGTCAGTTTTCTTCCTAGAGAGGTGTTCTTGCCATAGACCTTTTAGGTAGGTTTCTTGTATTTAGTCGCCAAAATAAACAAGAAAAGTGTTTTGAAAAGAAAAAATAAAACAAGTGGTAGCTTCTGCTTGCTCTGCTGGTTAGGGAACCAGTGTTGTTAAGGAAAGTATATAGACTTTATTATTATAAAAACAAAAAGTTTTTTGAGAACATCTGTTTTTTGAGTTGGCAAAAAGATTAGCGGAAAGAGTGGCATTTCTTACAATCTTTATTAATATAGTAAAATAAATTATTATATGATTAATATTAAAATGTAAGATACATTGCTATACATGTCAACCTATTACCTAATTAGCTATATCTCTAGAAAAAACTCTTGAGCAGGGAAAAGGAGAGGAACTATCTAATCTTGAAGGGCTAATGCCTCTCTAATAATTTATTTTATCCTGTAAGGGCATGGATAGAGTCTCGAGAAAAGTTTGAGTGTAATATCAATTAGTTTGTATTGATGTATTTGTTTGTCGTTGTTTGATGAATTGTTTGTTTGTATTTTGTTGTAAGTAGTTGGGTTTTTGTTTAGTTTTTTGTTGTTGTTGTTTCTTCTGTGTTTAGTATTTTGAAATATGTCAAGGAAGCTTTTCTCTGCAATCATGTCTTTGTTTTATGAGATCCAGATGTGTTGGTAGATGAGTTCAAGTGTTTTGTTTTGTATTTCATTGAGAGTTTTGAGGTCATGTCATATTGGTTGAAGATTGTTAAAAAGATTTTTGAGTTGTAATGTATCTGTTGCGAAGTTGATTAGTTGAATAGTGGTATTGATTGTTTTTTGGACTAGGTGAGAATTAAGGTTTTTATTGTTTTTGAATTTTTTTGTAATTAGTGTTTAAGTGTCAGATAATATTTTTTTAATTGTGTTTATGTTGTGTTTGCAAAGCTAGATATGGTGTGTAGTTTCTGGAAAGGAGTTACAGTGTAGGTATATATTGTTTGTATAGATATGTGATAGTATAGTGTGAAGATGAGATTTAGTTGAAAGTATATTGGAAAGAATTTTAAGATGGAAGTTGTAGATTTTGGATTGATATTGGTTTGTTGGTATTGGTATATTTTTGAGAAAAGTTAGAGCATTAGTTAGAAGTGAGAGATCTGGTTAGAATGTTGTTTGAGTACAATAGGAGTAGATTATTTCTATGGAACGGACAGTTTTGTTTATTTGTTTGATATATTGCCTTGTTGGTGGGATGGAATTTTTGTTTGTATTGATGAGTGTAAAATGTATTGGTAAAGGGTCAATTATATTGATTTGTAGTAATTGAGAGTTGATTAATTGTATTTTTTGTATTGCAGATATGGATTTGAAAAAGGTGTGAGAGATTTGAAGAGTTTGTATTATGTTATGAATATTTGAAATAGTAGTGAAGTATGGGATTTTATATTTTTTTCCATGGTTAATGGGTGGTGAAGAAAAGGTTTTGTGATTTAATTTTGGGTATTTAGTGAAAAAGTGATATTCTTTTGATTTGTTAGATAGGAAGATTATAATTATTGTATGGAGAAGTGATAGGTAGGAGTTGGATATATTGTTTTAAATTTTCTTTTTAATATTAGTTGTATGATTACTATAGGCAAGTTAATATTTAACTCATTGTATTAACATATAAAAGATGGTATTTCTTTCATGATGTATATCACAAATTAAATAAAAAAATGATATTTGCCTACAAATATATATATATATATATATACAGTATATATTATTATATATTATTATTTTATTTTGCAATTCTTTTTTATATATTATCTTTTAATTTTAATATCAGAATAGAATTTTAAAATTAATTTAAATTCAATTATTTAAATTAATTTATTTGATATATTAATAATTAAATATTTGAAAATTGAAAATTATTTTTATCAATAATTTTTAAGTTTGTTAAGTAAAATTTAACATTCTTTTATAAAAAAAAATTTTTTTTTAATTTACAGAAATATATTGTTTACTATAAACATAAATTGATATGATTTTCAATTTGTTTTTAATAATATAATAAACATTTTTTTAATATATTATGTTGGTTTGAGTTGTTTAATTCGAATTTTTTTGATTTTAAGCTTGAAAATATAATTTATAATTTATAAATTAAATTACTTTAAATTAATATTATGTATCTTAAAAATTTAATAGTAAATATTTTAAAATCAACTAAGTTAAATAAATTAAATAAAATCATCTGATTAATAAATTGAATCATTATTGTTTTTAATTCATACATACTGGTAATCGGATAATATTATTACTCCAAAGCATGGTGAAGGACGATATATTTTTTGATTTTCGCATATCACACATACGTCATTCCCGTCAATTTTATTGGCTCCTAGTATTTAATAATTTGCTTTTGATTAAGTTTTAATGGCTCTATTTATAATAATAAACTTTGATACACGTAATCTTGGCTACCATGTAACAATGTTATTTTTAAAGTTCCGACACTATTAATCTCACTATCATCGAGAAACATCCACAACGTTTCTCGTCATCCCTAAACAAATATTTTTTTATGGTTATATGATTTTGACTTTATTCAGGAAGATCAATTTACAAAATGATTTGATATAAACAAATTATACAATCAAGAATGTTTGAGAAATTTACAAAGATAAATTAAATCCATTATGAACAATTAAAGGTCATAGAAATCATCAAAGATAAATGAATCAAGGTTCAACTGTTCAAGATGAAGATGATTTTCGAAGTCGTGACAAAAATTATCGTTCACAAAATTACATTCTAACACTGGAAGATCACTAATATAGTAGTTAGGGTAGTTGTTAGGTGGAGTATCTGGTTGAGGATAATAAGTAAAAATATTTTGAATATTTTCGCGATTCGGAAGTTCACTTTGCAAAGAACTTTCACTTGGATTAGTTAACTCAACCTCCACCCAATCACATTTGTCTGAGATATTGAGAGTGGGTTCTTGGAATGTATTGTTGCCAGGGATGTAGGATTCTGGGTCATCGGTTACATTCTGAGGTGTCGATATAGTGGCATTAACAAATGTCATGGATTTTTTGTTTTCATAATGTTTACTGATCGACACCCTTAGTCCGTCAACGACACCTACGGGAGTCCTGTACTGTTTTTTTAGTTTTTCCTCTTCGGCACGTTGGTGCCAAAGGTACTTGACTTCAGAAGGTTCACTCTTCCATTTTTCGGCAATCATTCTTGATAACGAACGCATATCAATATGATTTTTTAAGTCTTTAAACATTAAACACAGAAGAAACAACAACAACAAAAAACTAAACAAAAAACCTAACTATTTACAACAAAACATAAACAAACAACTCATTAAACAATAACAAACAAATATATCAACACAAACT